AATAAATCCTTTCCTAAATACTCTAAATCTAATCACTCTACAAAATCCAAACAAAAACTATTAGTCTCTTTATAGTTCTCACAATGAACTTAAGATTAGAAAAATAACAAACTACTCAACAACTCAAACAATATTTCAAAACTACTAATTCATTCTTTCTAACTCAAAGTCAATTTATATCTCATCTATACTTACCAAAATACAAATCGACTACAACCAAACAATTAATATAAAATGCAAAACACAAAAAGAAAAAAACCAATTCAAACTCTCTATTAACCAACAAGAATTACAAGCCTTACAAAAAATCTACCATACTCTAACCAACTCTCCAACCTTTACTCTACCTGAACTAATCATCTTTTCACCTGACATCTCTTTAATTCAAAACATAATTACTAATCTAACTTATCAAAACCAACTCATAAACCTTCATAATCAAATCCTATTACTTAACTCAGAAACTCTTCATTTCTATACAAATGCATCAATCAAATATTCACAAATACCAAACATCAAAACTAGTATCGCATGGATACTCCAAAACAATACTCAAATAAAATTCAATACATCAATACTTTACACTCCAAACTCCACAAGAGCTGAACTATCAACATTCATCTATCTCTTCCTAACACTACATCAAATTACAAAATCCATTTATATTTGGATAACCTCTTAGTAATTCACATACTCAAAAACAACTTACCCTACAACCATCTAACACAAACCAAAATAAACAACTGGAATATTATCCATATTCTAAATTACCTCATTCAAAAGAAAAATATCTAATTCACTACTCACAAAACTAAATCACATTCAAGAAATTCTTTTCACAATATCGCTGACTCATTAGCTAAACAAGGCATTAACAAAATAGAAATCCAACTCAACACCCAACCATTTCACCTACCTCTCTCCTTCGTATAGAATCAAATACTCCTACCACTTAAAATACATAAATTCTGTACAAATATTCTTTCAATTCAAACATTCAACAAGCTTTTACAACTCAAAACATTTCGCAATCTACAACTCTTCAATATTCTTCAACTCACCAACATAATCAATTCACAAAATGATAACTACAAATTCTACTCTCTTAGAAACAAAATTATACTAAATAACCTACCAATAATAGCAAATTTAAACACATGCTATCCCAACTTATACCTTACACCTAATTGTACATTCTGTAACCAATATGAAGATACTAAACATATACTTTCTTATATACTTCACAAAACTAACCTACACGAAATACTACTCAACCAAATAACAAATACTCTAAACACACTTAACTTAAATAATACCTCCCTTCAAACTATCCTACATATAATTACTAGTAACAACAGTGCATATTAGGAATATACATTAGCTTGCCATCTACAATACTTGGTGAAATGGAAAGGACACCAGTTGTATGATGCGACCTGGGAACCCCTGAAGAATTTTGAAAAATATAAAAACCTGGTAAAAGAGTTCGAAAAATATGGTGAAACTGTTTTAAATAGGGGAGAGTGTAAGGGAACTGTTGAACCTCGTTGCACAATGAACGTGTCGTACAACGAACATTCATAAAACAAACGTGTATTACGTGAATGTGATGTAAGGTTAGAATCGCGTTAGCATTAGTCATTAGAAGTCGTAATGACCATGCATTCAAGTTGTAGTCATAGTTAAGCAATTGTAATGTAAAATGCGATATAAATATGTAAAAGAAAAGAAAGCTAATTATGCTTTCGCTCGCAATCTTTAATAAAGAAATAAAAATCCAATTTTGCCTAGTTTTTATATGAAAATCGCCCCAAACCTATCTACCCTTAATAGACACGGTTACAAATAGCCTCTTTGGTTTCTTGTTTTAGGCAATTTAGTGCTTAGTATAGATAATGATATAGTAAACAGTAAATTTTTTGTTTTTAAAGTGACAATCTCTCATTTTTTGTCTATCTCTCCGATTACGTTTACGTAAAATAATTTATAAATTAATTACACGCGTTTACAGTTAATTATCCGAGTAGTAAAAATCATAACTCGGTTAATGGATGTTATACGGATCGTTTGGGTAACTCTTATACGGGTATTGCCTCTAATCGCAAGGTAATAACGCCAATATTTTGAAATATTTACTGCAATTAATTACTAATAATAATATGTATGATATAAAAATTTATTGAATACTACATAATAATAAATAAAGTATATCTATCGTTATCAAAACATCAATTTAGATCAAAAAATTCTATCTAAAAAAGTGTCTTTAATTGATATTTAAGTTCTAAATTTTTGGGGTTAAAAATTGAGATAGATAAAGTCTTTCTCACATAATATTACATTTCTTGATTTATCATGCAATAGCCATCAGAATCAATCTCATTATTAAAAGAAATTTTTAGAGAATCGTTAGTTTTATCAGTATTCGAAAACTTATTAGTTTCGTTGATTTTAGAAGAATCATTAAATCTTGTTATCAGGAGAGTTATCATTTTTATCATTGTTATTTTTAGAAGAATTGTTAGTCTCGTCTGTGCTAGAAACGTCGTTGATTTTAGAAAAAGCACCAATTTTATCAGGTTCAAACGAATCATTAGACTTGTCAGTTTCAGAAGAATCTTCCGTTTTATTAGTTTCAGAAGAATCTTCCGTTTTATTAGTTTCAGAAGAATCTTCCGTTTTATTAGTTTCAGAAGAATCTTCAGTTTTGGAAGAATCGTCATTTCCAAGTTTGGATGATGAATCATCAGTTTTATTAGTGTTGGAAGAATCATCAGTTTTATCGGTTTCGGAAGAATCATCGTTTTTATTTGTTTCGGAAGAAACATCAGTTTTATTAGTTTCGGAAGAATCATCATTTCCAGGCTTAGATGAAACATTAGTTTTATTAGTTTCGGAAGAATCATCAGTTTTATTAATTTCGGAAGAATCATCATTTCCAGGCTTAGATGAAACATTAGTTTTATTAGTTTCGGAAGAATCATTAGTTTTATTAGTCTTTGAAGAATCGTTGGTTATATCAGATTTAGAAGAATCGACAGTCTTGCCAGTTTCAGAATAATTATCAGGAGAACCGTTAGTCTTGTTAACTTTAGTTTCATCATTGTTATTGGTTTTAGAAGAATCATTAGAAGAATTTTTATCCTTGTCATTTATGGAAGTATCATCAGTTTTAGGTAAACCAAGTTTAGAAGAAGCAGAAGCTTCAATTTTAGAAGACTCAGTATTAGTACCTTCTGTTTTAGAAGGAACTTCAGTAACTTCGGTCTCAGTTATAGAGGAAGCGGGATAATCTGCCTCTAATTTAGCTTTTTTATGATCATGTTTCGTTTGCGTAGAGGTATCTTGAAATTGTTGGCCATTATTCATGGCTTTTGGTGGTTCTCCAATAATTGCATTACAAACTTTATTTTTAATAATAGTTGCTAAAGTCTGTTTTTTTGGTTCAACTCGGGAATAAACTTTAGCTTGAGTGAATATCTTGCGTTTAGAAGGATCATTTAAATCTTTTCCGATTAGTGGAAAAGAACAAATGTCAACTAAAACGTCGTCTACATCCTCTTCACACTGTGCATTCATGTATATTTTATGTACCTTCTCACCATATTTAAACCAATAATAATGGATTATTGGCTCTTGAACTTTGAAACGGAAATAGAATAGCCTAATAACATCACTAACTAATTCGACAGCTTTCTCTTCAATAGAAGTAGTTTTATCGGGATCTTTAAATGAACGATATCGATTTATCGAATGATTAAGTGCATTTTGGCATTGTTTAAGGAAAGGATGTAACCCATTTTCATGCGTATCAGAGAATCCGCGATGACCAAGTACAGCATAAATTTGCTGACGCAATTTTATCGGAGCTGCTTGAGTTACGTGATCTGATCCAAAACGTTCATATGACAACCTATTAACGGATTCGATCAAATCCTTTGTTTTATAAACAATTTCAGACTCGAGACAATATGTTGAGGTGTCAATTTCATTTTTATTAAAGTATTCATTTGCAAAGTTTAAAATTTTCTCTAAAACATGTCGCTGTAAGACCGCTTTGATTAAAGGTTTATTTGGAGTTTGATGATTGATTTGTGTTTTAGACCCATATCTTTCTAAAAGTCTATTTATTGCACCATAATCGAGATTAATACTTCCTTTCAAATGAGTTACGTAGTCCGAAATCTTATCTTGCAAACTTTCGATATCAACATTTAATTGCACCGTATTATTTTTATCATCGTCATTTAAGCGAAAAGTTGTTGCATTTCCAAGTGCTAATTGGTATTTAGATGCCTCATCCTTTAATTCTTTAATTTGCCGCTCCTTTTGTCCATACATATTACTTAAATTGGTGAGTTTAGCTAAATAATTATCTCTTTCTTCTTTAAGTTGTGTAATCGATTGCTCCAGATTATTAGTATGCTTTTTGTAGTCATTTAGATTTTTATTGAGATCTCGAAGTTGTTTTTCGAGAGCTTCTTTGCTTTTCTGAAGCATTTTACATTTGGAATTTTCCTTTTCTAGAACTTTTTTTTCTTCCATAAGTGTCGTTTTCGTGTCCCATAAAGCATCATAATCATTTTTTAGCTCAGTTTTTTCTCTAAGAAGTTTTTGATTATAATTCTCTAAATTCTGGTTTTCCTGCCATAATTTATTATAATCAATACTTAGCTCAGATATTTCTTCGTTCAATTTCTTGTTTTCTGCAAGTTCCACATGTTTTTGATTATTATTTTCGAGTTCCGATATTAACTCATTATTGGTTTCCATAAGTTTTTGAATTTCCGATTCTTTTGTTTTTAGTGTTTCATTTAATTCATCATTCCTTTTCTTAAGAATGTCGATTTCCGATACATTATTGAATTCTACGTCCTCCATTTGTTCAGTCATTGTTTCTCAGATAGTATTTCTTTAAGATGTTAAAACTTTTAATTGAAATGGGAGAAGTGGTATGAATATTTATGCTTATCTTTATATACATATTTATCGTATCGTTAATTATATAACAAGAAATTTGATTTGCGTGAAACAATCAATCGTTCTTATTTGATAACGGATAAGTTTCGTTTTAATCCGAATTACCTTTTAAAACCTTCTGTATTCCAAATAGTAATTACATTTTATAAAAACAGGAAACAATAAACAAATTAAAATAAGAATTAATACAAAGGAATTTAGAAATTCAAATGGTCAATAATTCTTACATTCGTTGTTTAAACGTATTATAGTGATTTGATTTTAAAAGAATTTCAGTATATATTTTTATCAAAAAATTGGTTATTTCAAGATTTTCGTTCTCTAAAAATTTTTTTTCAATTTTGAAATAAACCTCTTCCAAAATGAGTGAATCAGATATTCGTGTAGTTGCAGCTATTGGTAAAGTTTTTTTTTTTTTTTAAAAAAAAAAAAAACTTGAAATTGTAATAATAATTAATATATAATTGTCTTTTATTCTTCAGATTTCGGTACAACATATTCTGTAAGTATTTAATTTAAGATACCGGTATTAAATTTCGCTTCTAAACATTTTCGATTGCTTAATATGCAAATTTCAAATTAGGGGTTTGCATACGCTCATAAACAAGATCCTAACGAAATCTACGTTAACACTGATTGGCAAGAATATGAAGGACGAACTAAAACGCCAACAGCTCTACAATACAATGATAATATGAAACTCGAAAATTGGGGCTATCCAGCTTTAATAGAAAAACCAAAGAGAAGAGGGAACAAAAATCAAAATAAACATCCGGTAGAATTATTTAAACTCCATTTAGGAGATCTGGGAAAAAATAATAAAAAACCTAAGCTTCCTACCGGGCTTAGTTATCAAACAGCAATTACTGATTATTTGACTGAGATTACGAAATCACTTAAAAGAACCTTGCTAAACCGTTGGCCATTGCTCGATTTTGACAACCAAGTTTGTCTCATACTTACAGTACGCGCACAAACTTTATTGATCGCTTGTTAATTGTCACATGATCATGTTTGAAGTTTTTTTTTTTTTAACTTCTTGTTAGATTCCTGCTGAATTTGGAGCTGCTGCAATAGCTACAATGCGCGATTGCGCGCACAAGGTAGATATCAAATTTCATACTATTCATTCAATATCTCTTTCTTGAGTATTAAACTAATTTAAAATTTTTATTTCTAATTTAAGGCTGGCTTGATTCAGCAGAAAGATACTCCTAATTTATTGTTTACTACTGAACGTATGAAACTTTTTGAAAATAATTGTTAATCTATCAATATGACTTATTATTTATATATACTTTTTTATGCATTAATGTACTGTATTTTATTAGCCGAGGCAGCTGCTGTACATTGTATGAATACTCTAAAACAGCACGATTTGGGAGTTGGTGGTTAGTATATGAATTCATTATAAACTTTTATAAATAAATATTTATAAATTAATATTTATAATATAGATACATTTATGGTAGTTGATTGTGGTGGAGGTACTGTTGACTTAACGACTCGAAAACTTTTAGCCGATAATAAATTAAGTGAAATCACTGAACGTGAAGGTGATTTTTGTGGTGGAAGTTATGTAGATCAAGAATTTTTAAAATATCTCGGTAGAAAAGTTGGAACCTCTGCAATTGAGCTTGTTAAACAAAACCATTATGGACAACTTCAATTTATGGTTCAAGAATTTTGTAGAAGAGTTAAAATTCCATTCACAGGAGAAACTAAGAATTTTAAACCTTATGAACTTGACTTAGAGGTAGTTTGCTCAAAATATTAAGTTTATTATTAATATAAATTTTCTGTATTTAACTTATAATAATAATAATTTTTATCTTATAATTTTCATTATTAATTATGTTAGGATGTTTGCCCAGTTTTGAAGCAATATGTTAAAGGTCAAGCTAATAATGATATGGAAGAGGCAGAATGGGTTGTGACAATTGAGTTTGACGATGTTAAAGCGATGTTTGATCCTGTAGTTGGTAGAATAATTAGATTAATTCATAGACAACTAGATAAAAGTGAAGAAGATTGTTCTGTAATGTTTTTGGTTGGTGGATTCAGTGAATCAAGATATTTACAATCTCGTGTCCGAAATGAATTCGATAGAATTGTTAAAAATATTCCGGTTCCTCCTAATCCTATTGCTGCTATTGTAAAAGGCGCTGTCCAATTTGGTCTAAAACAAGAAGTAATTGCTGATCGAGTTCTAAAATGGACCTATGGTATTTAGTATTATATCATTAATCATCTAAATCATTAATTTTTGCAATTACTTAAATTACAATATTATGTTTATAGGAACTCGTATTGCAAGAGATTGGACTCCTGATGACCCTCCAGAACGAAAAAATGGTAAACATATCATTATTTTTGAACGATTAGGTAAAAAAGGTGATAGAGTTGCCGTAGATGAAAAGGTTATACGTATTTTTGCGCCTACAAGTGTGATTCAGGAACATGCCTGTTTAGATCTTTACGTAACATCTAAAGATAACGCAGAATATTGTGATGAATATAATGTTAACTTGCTTGATCATTTTAATTTTCAAGTTCCAATAACTGGTGAAGAAATACGTCCAATTTTATATGTTATGAAGTTTGGAATGGTTGAAATTCAAACTACTGCTATTAATGTTGTTAGTGGAGAGAAATACGAAAAAACATTTGAGTTCGATATTTAAAATCATAGATTATAAATTTATATTTTTTGTATTTTTAAATAAGGATCTATAATTTTTGTATTTTTAAACTAGAACATGATCAAGTAGGCGGCTTCACCGCCTTGAATTAATAGTAAAAATATTTATATTAGTTAACTAACTTGCACTTAAATCATAATCTTCTTAATGACTAAAGATTGAACCCAAGTAGAAATTATTTCTGCAAATAAAACCTGCAATAATTATAATTTTCACTTAGCCCTTGTTAGAATTGTGGTATTACATAATTAATCACTATATTATCAGTATTCGATCTTTTCGATAATACATATTAAATTGGTGATTAATTTGTAATTTCAAAATCTAACAGAGGCTAAGTTCGCTAAAGTGCAATATAATTTTTGCTTTGCAGCATAGCAAACTTTATTATTAACCCCCTTCTCTATCTTTTTTGTTAGCATATCTCTGATCATTGCTGTTTATATGTGTGTTTGTTGAAGAAGTCGAGACTGGTTCTTGGTTAGGACTCGATCGGAATATGTGTCACACGATGGATCGGGTCTAACTAACAGGTGCCGTCCCAAATTCATAGACAGAAGTTTGTCTGATTGGCTAATTTTTAGGTCGATTTGCAGATCAACACGTGATTATTAACCAATAAAA